ATGGCAAGACCTCATCTCTATTTAAAAAAAATAAAATAGGCTGGGTGTAGTGGCTCACACCTGTAATCCCAGCACTTTGGGAGGCTGAGGCAGGTGGATCATGAGGTCAGGGGTTCGAGACCAGCCTGGCCAATATGGTGAAACCCTGTCTCTACTAAAAATGCAAAAATTAGCCAGGCATGGTGGCACGTGCCTATAGTTCCAGCTACTTGGGAGGCTGAGGCAGAAGAATCACTTGAACCTAGGAGGCAGAGGTTGCAGTGAGCCAAGATCACGCCACTGCACTCCAGCCTGGGCAACAGAGCCAGACTCTGTCTCAAAAAATACATAAATAAATAAATAATAAAATAAAAGAGGCCAGGCATGGTGGCTCATGCCTGTAATTCTAACACTTTGGGAGGCCGAGGCGGGAGAATCACTTGAGCCCAGGAGTTCAAGACCAACCTAGGCAATATGGTAAAACCTTGTCTCTACAAAAAAATTTAAAAATTAGCTGGGTGCGGTGGCATGAACCTGTAGCCTCAGAGGCTTGGGAGGCTGAGGTGGGAGGATGGCTTGGGCCCAGGAAGGAAAGGCTGCAGTGAGCCAAGATCATGCCACTGCACTCCAACCTGGACAACAGAGCTATGCCATCTCAAAAGAAGAAAAGAAAGTAAAACAGCCTGGCAGTTTTTTTTACAAAGCTAAACATACGCTTCCCGTACAATCCAGTACTCAGTATCTATTTCTTCCCACTCCTACGTATTTACTCAAGAACAATAAAAACATATGTCTGCTCAAAGACCTGTACTCAAGTATTTATAGTGTTTTTATTCATGGTGACTAGAAAGAGGTGGCTGTGGTGGCTCATGCTTATAATCTCAGCACTTTGGGAGGCCGAGCTGGGCAAATCACTTGAGCCCATGAGTTCGAGACTAGCCTGGGCAACATGACAAAATCGTGTCTGTATAAAAAATAAGAAAAATTTTAAAACCTGCCAGTCATGGTGGCATGCACATATAGTCCTAGCTACTCAGGAGGCTGAGAAGAGAATCACTTGAGTTTGAGGCTGAAGGGAGCTATGATTCCACCACTGCACTCCAGCCTAAGCGATAGAGTGAGACCCTATTTCCAAAAAAAAAGAGAGAGAGAGAGGCTGGGTGTGGTGGCTCACGCCTGTAATCCCAGCACTTTGGGAGGCTGAGGCAGGCAGATTATCTGAGGTAGGGAGTTCAAGACTAGCCTCATCAACATGGAGAAACTCCATCTCTACTAAAAATACCAAATTAGCCAGGCGTGGTGGCAAATGTCTGTAATCCCAGCTACTCGGGAGGCTGAGGCAGAAGAATCACTTGAACCTGGGAGGCAGAGGTTACGGTGAGCTGTCTCAAAAAAAAAAAAAAAAAAAAAAACAAGACAGAGTCTCGTTCTGTTGCCCAGGCTGCAGTGCAATGGCACAATCTTGGCTCACCGTAACCTCTGCTTCCCGGGTTCAAGCGGTTCTCCTGCCTCAGCCTCCCAAGTAGCTGGGACTACATGTATGTGCCACTACGCCCAGCTAATTTTTGTATTTTTTGTGGAGATGGGGTTTCACCATGTTGGTTGGCCAGGATAGTCTCGATCTCTTGACCTCGTGATCCGCCCGCCTCGGCCTCCCAAAGTGCTGGGATTACAGGCATGAACCACCGCACCCGGCCGAGACTTTGTCAAAAAAAAAAAAAAAAATTGAGAGAGAGAAAGAGAAAGATAAATGCTAATGTAGATTTGGACATACCCAGAACTACAGAATCGGGTACTATGGGGGTGAGGTCCAGAAATCTGTATTTATTTATTTTATTTTATCTTTGAGATAGAGTTTTGCTCTTGTCACCCAGTTTGGAGTGCAGTGGTTGGCCAGGCTGGTCTCAAATTCCTGACCTCAGGTGATCCGCCCGCCCCGGCCTCTCAAAGTGCTGAGATTACAGACATGAGCCACTGCACCTGGTCAGAAATCTGTATTTTAATTAGTTTTCCAAGTTTAAAAAACTTTCCAGGTGATTCAAATGCACTTTGACATTTGAGAACCAATGGTGTAGGAGAAAAAGCTCACTGGTGCCTGTGTCCTTGTTCTGGTTTAGCCTAGCAGCTCTATGACTAACCATGGCTGAATCCCTAAATCTCTCAAAACTCAGTTTTACAGGGTATAACAAGGGGTTTAGAATGATGCCTGAGGGCCCTTCTGTTCTAAAATTCTGTGAAAGAAAGTAAATAACTGTTGCAATTACTAGATTCATTCAATCAACAATCAACAAACACTTATGTACCAGGCAGCGTTCTGTTCATGGAATCAAAGTATGACAGAAAATTACAATTGAAATATTGTAACTTATCGTTTATAATTAAATGACTTGCAAATTTTCAGACCACAAACTTTTACTGGTCCTCAATTTACAAGATTCTCATACTGCATCTTGTGTAATGTGAACTGGAAAACTAAGAAAATAATCCAAAGGGTCATTTTTCCAAAATTACTTTTTTTTTTTTTGAGACAGAGTCTCACTCTGTCACCTAGGCTGGAGTGCAGTGGAGCAATCTCAGCCCACTACAACCTCCTGCTCCTGAGTTCAAGCAAATCTCCTGCCTCAGCCTCCTGCGTAGCTGGGATTACAGGCATGCACCACCACGCCCAGCTAATTTTTGTATTTTTAGTAAAGACCGGGTTTTGCTATGTTGGCCAGGCTGGTCTGGAACTCCTGGCCCACCTGCCTCGGCCTCCCAAAGTGCTGGCATTACAGGCGTGAGCCACCGCGCCTGACCTCAGTCAAGTTTCAGTATATCTACAAGGACAGGAGATGGCGCCAGAAGGCAGTGGGATGCTTGGTTTTGGTTTTAAGGGTTTTAGCCAATGCAAGCAAGGAAAGGGCTTGAGAGTGAGGTCAGAGCTAAAACAAAGGTGCCAGAGTTTGAGTGGAAACTGAGACCGGATGGGGAGAGGGAGCTGTGTCACTTTTTTTTTTTTTTTTAACTTACATATAAGGGTCCTCTTGACACCTACTCCAAATCAACACAGCTAGAAAGCGACAACAGAAATATCCACAGTAAAGCCAAAGATCAAGATAAAGTCAAGTGCCTGGAGGACGGCGCTCGCCTCCTGGCTCCCTCTGTCCTAGAAAGGAGGGCCTTTGTCATCTGGGAAGCATAAGCACCTGGATGCGTTGCTCACCCAAGATCAGGGAAGTGTTGATTCCGGGCTAAGATATCTTTGTGGAACAATGTTCAGTTGTGTAGGCAAAATCTCAAAGCCCAGCAGCAGTGAAATACCTCCCAGAAGGAACCATACACAAAACATCTTATATTACAATTTAAAAATTCATAGACGAGCCAGGAGGTGGCGCCTGGCAAGACACGCTATCTGCCTTGGGAATCGGAATCTCAGCTCAGTGCTCCACGGAAACTCTGTCCCGGTGGAGAGGTCATTCTGTTCAGACCTCTTCTTTCCTACTAAATCTCTTTTCTCATACGAAGATGTCTCTGCTTTCTTTTTTTGTTTCTTTGTGTTAAGTACCCTGATTCCCGGGAAGTCTAATTTATACCTCAAGCCTTTATTCTTCTTAGATGGGATGGATGGGGCTTTGGGGAACCTCAAAACATAAAACTTTCCTGAAGGGGACAAATAATTCAGAGGGTGGTAGGAGAAGAAGGGAAATGACATCAGCAAAATGGCTTTGCTTTGCAGATCAATCATAGGGGACAGAAAGGCACAGTGAGCTCCTGTCTCTGCAGGAGCTGATGATCCAGCACATGCATTATTCTGTTCATTTGGCTTTTATCCTGCTCCCTTATTTAGCTTCTGCTCCCTTTGTTTGGCTATTTATTGCTACTCGGCAGGAGCAAGGAAGGCAGAAGGAGCTTCAAATGGGTGCATCCTCCTAGCTGGTGCCTCTGGTGAAGGGCATGGAGAAGAAAGAGGTTTCAATGTCTGGCTTGAAAGCATCTGTGGGTTTCACATTCTCTAACGAGGGATTTAGGATGTACATTCCAATCGGGATTTCCAGTCCCGTGGGGAGCAAACATCAGCTCACATTCCTGAGACGCGCAGCCTCCATACTCCACTGGCGCAGCTCCTTGGTGGCAGGTTTCATTCAGTGCCACATGTCCTGCCTCAGCCCTTTGTTGGGCTGGAGGGAAGACCCTGGGCCCCTCTTCCATCTGGATCACATGGTCTCTCCGGTCCCTCCCCTCTGTTTCTCTGGAGACCGCCTTTTTCTGATGGTGGCAGTGATTGTTCCCAAAGTCTCTCCTTCTTTCCTCCTGCCCTGGCCTCTCTGCCAGAGGTCAGTGTCCTCTTCAGTGACAAAAGCCGCCCTAGATCTGGGCTCCCTGGAGAGGGAGGTGGCTGGGTCTGGCAGTTACAGCCGCTGTCTCTCCATGGTGCTGCTACACCCCTCCCCCACTGGGCACACAAATGGGCTTTATCCGGCAAACAACGCTCCCCCCACCCCAGGCCACACAGGCACGTGGACCCAGGCCTCACCGTGGGAAGGGGGTGGTGACAGGCACAGAAGAGATTGCTCCAGATGAGTTCTCCTCGCCTTACTTCTCTTCCTTAGAACTCAGGACACAACTCAGGTTTTAGTTCTTACTTCGTCCACCCCTCGCCTGCACCCTGAGTCCCCAATTCCTTCTTGTTATATATCTCCTAATTCTGGACTCTTCCCATTCCAGGGCAGCTCAGATTCTGCAGGAAATTGGGAACAGGTACCCCCACCATCTGCCCCATACCACCCAGGCAGCTGCTCCTCAGAGGTGAAGCCAGGCGGAGGGATGAAAATACAGTGTCCTCTTGAGGGGGCTGAGTTGAACCCCAAAACCCCTTCCTTGACCCCGCCTGTTCCAGAGAACACCTGTCTAAGCAGCATCTGTGTGACTAGCAGAGGAAGGAAGAGCTCACCGCAGCTGGGCTCCTGAGCCAGGGCAAGGGCTCCAGTGAAACTTGCCGCGCTCCAGCTCCGAGTGGGGCCATCCTGCATGCCTAATTGGCTATTTAAGGAGCTGTTCACCAGCAGCCCAGGCAGCACCCCCCTCCACACATACACCCGTCCAGAGCCACCTTAAAAGCAGGAGGCAGTTGTAAAGTCGCTGGCCAGCTAGTGGAGTGGAGACTGCAGAGGGAGATAAAGAGAGAGGGCAGAGAAAGAGGCAGCAAGAGATTTGTCCTGGGGATCCAGAAACCCATGGTACCCTACTGAACACCAAATCCCCTGGAAGCCCACAGAGACAGAAACAGCAAGAGAAGCAGAGATAAATACACTCACGCCAGGAGCGCGCTCTCTCTCTCTCTCTCTCTCTCTCCCCCCCCCTTCCCTCCCTCTGTCTCTCTGCCTGTCCTAGTCCTCCAGTCCTCAAATTCCCAGTTCCCTGCACCCCTTCCTGGGACACTATGTTGTTCTCCGCCCTCCTGCTGGAGGTGATTTGGATCCTGGCTGCAGATGGGGGTAGGTACAACTAAATGTCTGTGTGTGGATTTGTACTGATGTTCACATGTCGCCAGGTGTGCCGAATGTGGGGAGGAGAGGTGTGAAAGGAAGCCTAGAAGCTGGAATAATAGGCTCAGAGATGAGGAAAAAACAGCAGGGTGTGGAGGAGACCACTTCCCTTCTTTACCTTTTGTCTCTCCAGCCTTGCTGTTATTGGAGGTCGGGGAGAACTAGCGGCGGGCAGGGTGTGTACATACGCAAGTGCTGGAATTTCTTGCAGGCTACAGATTTTCTCCAGAGCTCTTTCCCCCACCCCCTGGTCCCAGGCAGGACTCCTGGACTTCTTTATTTACAAACTCCTCCAAATAGGGAGTCAAAGAGGCCTGGGGTGAAAAGAGGATAGATGGGGGTAGGGGGAAGAATACTTCCTGCCCAACTCAGACCCTGATCTCCAATTCATCCCCTTTTGGCCAAGATTCCCTCTTCATTCTGTGGAGTGACTAACTCCCCGGTTATCCTCTGAAAGTGGCAGTAAGAGTCAACGTTTGTTTGACACTTTACAAAGGACTTTCAGGAGCTCCCAGGAGATGAGGAGGGATTCTTGGGAGAACAGGCCGAAGCGCTCCAGGAGTGTCCCCAGGAACTCCTAGACCTCATTTTTGTGTTTCCTGTGCCTAGCACAGTATCCAGCACATACTAGGTGTGTAACTGAGGTTTGTGGAAAGAGCAGGGTGAGGGGGGTGTCCAGAGAGCAGAAGGCAAATGCAGAGAGGATGGGGGCAGGTGGGCAGCCAAATGGAGAGTCACAAATCTCATCTGAGGAGAAAGAAAAAAATAGGGAAAGAGGAGGAAGAGACATAATAAGTGTGTTGAGGCTCTGACCAGAGGGGACGGGCACCTTACAGACCAGGGAGTTCGAGTTGTTGGGGGGTCCCACAGAGATGGTAAATGAGAGGCTGCCTCCAGCTCTCCCTTGGGCCAGCAGAATAGGTCGAGGATAAGAGCAGGACAACTCACAAGTTTGAGAAATTTAAGGGAATAAGAGAGAGAGAAAGAGGAAGGAATTTAGGATTTTTCTCCAGAGTTTCTAGTAGTATGAATATTGCAGCATAAACCACGAAGCCCTTCGTTTTCTTCTTGAGGCAGTTTGGCCGTATGGAGGGGCTGGACCTGCAGACCCTCAGCCTTTGAGTCAGACAGGGCTGCACGAGAGCCTGGCATGTGACCCAGCTGGCAGCTCTCTTCTCTACACACAATGCTTCACTTTCATCCTGTCCCTGCCAGCCTGGCCGCCTGTGCCCACCCACCACTCTCAATCTACAGTAGACCCTGCCCTGACTCCTGCCCTTCCCTAACCATCTGGGAATGTAGGGAGCAGAGCCTCCTGGTGATGAGGAGTTTCCTCTAGAGCTAATGGGACCAGAAGGGAATAATTTACATATGATTTTACAGCTCAGTGCCTTTATTCACGCAATTTTGCAAAGCAAAGGAATAATCCCCCCTTCTGCCCTCAGTAGCACCCCCCAACACACACTCTGAATTCCTTTCTCCTCCCCACTTTCTAGTCCCTATCCTTCAAAACCTCTGCCCACACCCTCACCTCACCCATCCCAATCTTCTAAGTGTTAGATTGACTTGGCACAGGTTAGAGAAAAGTAAGGGTTGGGCCAATCGCACATTTGGATCCAGGTTAATTTTAGTCTCTGGGCTTTACCTCTTTTCCTTCCTCCTCCCCTTTTACTCGGCGGGCACCAGCACAGACTGGCTGGTGATTTTAAATAGGCCCCCCGACCTTTCCACAGAGGTGTCCAGTTTCAGGGCTTCCTTTGGAAAGTGCTGAAGCAGAGGGAGGAGAGACAGCAGAGAGGGAGGTGGAGCAGTACAGAATGCTGGAGGGAGGGGAGCGTGGAGGACACGGCTCCGCCTCAGGCTGCGCTGGCTGTAACCCAAACTATTCTGCCTTGCAGGTCAACACTGGACATATGAGGGTGAGCAGATCTTGCGGCCTCCCGACAACCCCTTCACACTGGGACCTCCTCACCTGGCAAGAAGACACACTGTGCGGGTGGGAGGAGACTTCCTTTAGCTTCTCACCCTAGCTCCTCCCTTCTGGATCTCCTCCTGCCTTGAGTTTCGCATATATGGCTCCTAGATCCTGCTCTAATCATCAAATCCTACACCTCCTGATTTGGCAGAAAAGCTAGTTAAGTCCTCAGTAAATCATGTAGGAGGGAGGGAGCTGGGGTGGAAAGGAAGCTGGGTGGGAACTCTGAGCTTAGCTGCCAGGTCTCCTTCTGGCTCTGTCTATCCTAATCCATCCTACCCCTAACCTGCATCTGAAATTGGGACAGAGGTGGAGATCAGGGGTAAGGAAGAAGCTGGCAGGATAGTTTGTGACCCTGGGGGAGGTGGAACTCAGTTCCTATGAACTACTGATTAATGACTTAACTGAACTCCAGAGTCCATGATAAACGGTCAGTGTGAGAGCAAGAAATGAATGATGAAAAGTTAAGATATCTGAATCCCAAGGCCACTTGATAGGGGGCCTCCAGGAGACCCTATCTCTCTAAGATCTTTTTTTTTTTTTTTCCTGAGACAGAGTCTTGCTCTGTTGCCCAGGCTGGAGTGCAGTGGTGCAATCTGGGCTCACTGCAAACTCCACCTCCCGGGTTTAAGTTATTCTCCTGCCTCAGCCTCTCGAGTAGCTGGAATTACAAGTGCCCACCACCATGTTTGGCTAATTTTTGTATTTTTAGTACAGACAGGGTTTCCCTATGTTGGCCAGACTGGTCTCAAACTCCTGACCTCAAGCGATCCACCTGCCTCGGCCTCCCAAAGTGCTGGGCTTACAGACATGAGCCACTGTGCCTGGCCTACCTAGAATCATTTTATTTCTCCCATTTTTCTACTCCTACTCTCTAATCCCATCTCTCAAGGTATTCAGGTTTTCTATGCATCCCCTCTCCCCCCATTCAGCTTTCTTGTCCTCAAAATACAGGTAAGTAAAAGAGCTACCACTCCCCATTCATTAGGATAGTTGGGAAATCATCACTGCCTCTGGGTAGGGAAGGGGAACTGCAGCGTGAGAATCAACGGGACTCCTACCTCACCCATCCCTGTACAACTGGGGTCTTAACCTGAGTGGAGGGAAGTCCATTTCTACCTCCACCCAGATGTATGGCTTGGTTAGGGGAAGGGTCAAAGGGACAGGGGGTTGTTGAAGGTTGGCTACAGCTGGAGGACAGGACCAATGTCTTTGGTAACCCCCACCAGGCCCACATGGTCAGGACCACTGGCCAGCCTCTTACCCTGAGTGTGGAAACAATGCCCAGTCGCCCATCGATATTCAGACAGACAGTGTGACATTTGACCCTGACTTGCCTGCTCTGCAGCCCCACGGATATGACCAGCCTGGCACCGAGCCTTTGGACCTGCATAACAATGGCCACACAGGTAAAAGCACAGGCTCCAAGGAGTTGTAGGCTCCAGCTCAGAACTTAAGAGTCAGATCCTTTTGTAGTTCATGAGCGTGATGATGGGGTGTTCATGAGCATGCGTAAGATGTGCCACCCTCGAACCTTGTTATGATGTTGGCACATTACCCATCTGACATAAATAAACAAACAAATAAGCTCAGGAGTCAGAGGAAAGCAGCATTCTCCTAACCTGCAAATTCTCAAAAACTTTTGTCCATGAATTTGGAGATATGAGAATAGGGATCAGGATCCTGTAGCCAAGGCGGGAATCAAAATGTTTATAATCAAGCTCAATAGGTAGGTTAGTATCATTGCACTGACTTGAACCGAGAAAAAGGAAGATATACTAGAAAAGCACTGGCCTGTGGGAGGAACTGGGTGCTACTGGGGGAGAAAACTGGAAGAGGGCCAAGTCTCCCAAGAAGTGGTGGCAACCCAGGAGTGGGAATGTATCCACATTCCTCCACCAATCCTAGTTTGCTCTTTTCCTCACAGTGCAACTCTCTCTGCCCTCTACCCTGTATCTGGGTGGACTTCCCCGAAAATACGTAGCTGCCCAGCTCCACCTGCACTGGGGTCAGAAAGGATCCCCAGGGGGGTCAGAACACCAGATCAACAGTGAAGCCACAGTTGCAGAGGTACCAGGGAACAAAGAGCTGGGACTCAAAGTAACAGGGATGGTTGGTCCTGGGGAAAGGATCTGGACCTTAGAGGACAGCAGGGGAACGGTGGCAGCTAGTATCAAGGCCTTGAAGGGGGTGGGGACATCCCATGATTCAATTCCCTCTTAATTCCTTCAGCTCCACATTGTACATTATGACTCTGATTCCTATGACAGCTTGAGTGAGGCTGCTCAGAGGCCTCAGGGCCTGGCTGTCCTGGGCATTCTAATTGAGGTCAGTAGCCCCCAGTCCCTTCCAGGTTTCTCTCCACTTCCTCTGCAACCCTCACACCTATTTCTGTTGCTGGCCTCCCTCCTATGGCAGGCAGCAGCCCACCCTGACCATTTATTCTGTACATAAATTTCTTATTCCAAACATGGACTCATTCCAAACTCTCTCCCTTTCCTCCTCTTCCAGGTGGGTGAGACTAAGAATATAGCTTATGAACACATTCTGAGTCACTTGCATGAAATCAGTCATAAAGGTGAGCCTTAAAAACCTATAGCAGGAAGTAAGATTAGACTTTCAAAAACCTTTCAAAAAATATCCTAAAAAGCCTTGGGATGAGGCAATTACTTACAGCCAAGGAATTTTGCATCTGGGAGCCCTATCTAGGTAAGCTAGGACACACTACAAGGAAGATGAGTCCCAGTCTGTTCTCCCCAGATCAGAAGACCTCGGTGCCTCCCTTCAACCTAAGAGAGCTGCTCCCCCCACAGCTGGAGCAGTACTTCCGCTACAATGGCTCGCTCACAACTCCCCCTTGCTACCAGAGTGTGCTCTGGACAGTCTTCTATAGAAGGTCCCAAATTTCAATGGAACAGGTAGGTGGTGGAGAAATGAGGTGAGGCGAGACACAGTTGTAACTTCAGACCCCTTCCCACTCCCCAAAGTGACACCTCTCCCACGCTTCTGCTCCTCAGCTGGAAAAGCTTCAGGGGACACTGTTCTCCACGGAAGAGGAGCCCTCTAAGCTTCTGGTACAGAACTACCGAGCCCCTCAGCCTCTCAATCAGCGCATGGTCTTTGCTTCTTTCAGCCAAGGTGATTCTGCACCGCTCAGAAGAGATGGGAAACTGAGGGGAACACAATGGCAGGAACTAGGGAGCCAATGGGAAGAAAAGGCTAATAGGAGAGGGGTTTTCGGGACTTGCTTGGACTGGGAACCAACCCCCACCCCAGGGTGCCTGGGTGATTCTCCCAGGCATAGCAGCAGAGTGCTGCTCCCAGCTGGGATGGGGATCTGAAGTCCCACTGACCCACTTTCTTCTCTTACAGCGGGATCCTTGTACACCACAGGTAAGGCAGCCTTATAAGATATTGTGGGGAGGGGAGGTATCCTCACCGAGTCGGGGAAGGGCTCAAAATCTGTTAGTCCTAGGCTGACACCTTTTACCTTTATCTCCCCCAGGTGAAATGCTGAGTCTAGGTGTAGGAATCTTGGTTGGCTGTCTCTGCCTTCTCCTGGCTGTTTATTTCATTGCTAGAAAGATTCGGTGAGGTCCTACTTTCCATTCCTCCAGTCCTTTCTTTCTTCCTTTTCTTGGGAGATGGAGTCTTGCTCCGTTACCCAGTCTGGAGTGCAGTGGTGCGCAATCTCAGCTCACTGCAACCTCTGCCTCCTGGGTTCAAGCAATTCTCCTGCCTCAGCCTCCTGAGTAGCTGGGACTACAGGCACGCACCATCACACCCAGCTAATTTTTGTATTTTTAGTAGAGACAAGGTTTCACCATATTGGCCAGGGTGGTCTCAAACTCCTGACCTCAGGGGATCCCCCCGCCTCGGCCTCCCAAAGTACTGGGATCACAGGCGCGAGTCACCCGCTTTTTGAGACAGGTTCTCACTGTTGTCCAGGCTGGAGTGCATGGCTTTATCACAGATCACTGCAACCTCCACCTACTGGACTCAAGTAGTCCTCCCACCTCAGCCTCCTAAGTAGCTGGGACTACTGGCATGTGCCACCATGCCCGGCTAATTTTCGTATTTTTAGCAGAGACAGGTTTTCACTATGTTGCCCAGGCTGGTCTCCAACTCCTGACCTCAAGTGATTCGCCTGCCTCAAGCCTCCCAAAGTGCTGGGATTACAGGTGTGAAACACCTCGCCCAGCCCTCTTTTCTATTAAAAATCATTCTCCTATTCCACCTCTAATCTGCTTCACTTAGATAGCAGTCATTCTCATGAGCCATTCCCCTTTCCAGGAAGAAGAGGCTGGAAAACCGAAAGACTGTGGTCTTCACCTCAGCACGAGCCACGACTGAGGCATAAATTCCCTCTCAGATACCGTGGATGTGGATGACTTCCCCTAATGCCTATCGGGAAGCCTCTAAAATGGGGTGTACGGTCTGGCCAGAAACACTGTAGAAGTAGTAGGCAGATGTCCTCCTTCCCCTGGACATCTCCTACAGAGAGGAATGGACCCAGGCTGTCATTCGAGGAAGAACTGCAGAGCCTTCAGCCTCTCCAAACATGTAGGAAATGAGGAAATCCCTGTGTTGTTAATGCAGAGAACAAACTCTGTTTAGTTGCAGGGATATATCCCAAAGTCCTCTACCCCCTTACTTTTATGGCCCTTTCCCTAGATATACTGCAGGATCTCTCCTTAGGATAAAGAGTTGTTGTTGAAGTTGTATATTTTTGATCAATATATTTGGAAATTAAAGTTTCTGACTTTAATTCCGGCCTATCCTTTGAGGCTCTTGAGGGTGGGCAAGTTCCTGAATCCCTCAGGTGGTAAAGATATGCAAAGGATGGGGAAAAGAAGCATGGGTGATTAACTCCTTTTATCCCACCCCTGGACAGAAAGATTAGCTTCTGGGAAAACACTTAACCCAAAGTTTCAGACATGTTAAACCACTAGCCCAGATTTCTGCCCTTGCACCAAGGCTATGCTTGGAGATCAGTGGTTGACAGGTTAGGAAAGTGGCTGGACAAGAGATCTGAGAGGGCAGAAATCTCAATTAACATGCTATCCCCTCCCTTAAAAGCCAAGTTCCCCCACAATTACAAATTCTTTTTTATTAGTCAAAATCACAATCACCTTGATTAAAAGGATGGGACACTCCACCCTCAGCAGAAAATGATACAGTTTATAGAAAACCTCCCCACCCCTCCCACACCCCAATTAAAAACTACAAAAAAATCTGCCCTCCTTCCCTACGATGTCATGGTAGTCTGACTCCTCCAGCGGCACTGCAGCTCTGGAGCGGTCAGCTCACCACAGCACCCTCCACTTCACCTTGGGGAGAGGAGGGATGCTGGTGGTTAAGGAGGTTAAAACCATTAGTTCCAGTAATGCCAGTTCCCAAACATGCACTTCCTTCCTTTCCCTCAAGGTCTGGGACCAAGGAGAAAGGTACAGAAATGAGCCCAGCCATGAGGAGCAACTCGAGGAGAGAAAATATAGCTCAAGGAGGTTAGAAGAGTTCCAACATACCTCCTCCCTTCCCCCACCTCAAAAAAGAGAAAAAGGCAGTTTAGGGTATTTGATCACACCAAAAATGGTTCCCCTCAGGCCTGAGAAAAAGACCAAGATGTCCAGTCTGGGGAGGGAGTACTGAGAAACTCAGAGCTCATCTACCCTTGAGCCTCCATTAATTTCATCTCCAGGGCAATGGCTAAACTAGGTCCCTTTTCTTGGCAACCTGCACTGTCCAGAACTGGAGATGGAGAAATACAGGGCGAGGACATCAGGAGGGCACCCCAGGCCCAGGGGTCCCCCCTAGGTTCCCTCAGTCCTCGGGTGGGATGCGCAGGGCAGAATACACCATCACCCGACTGTCCTCCTGCCGTCGGCCTGCAGAGGGGAAGGGAGGTGAGTCTTGGGCAGGGTGAGAGCAGAGCACTGACACAGGGGGAGTCCTGGACAACAAGGGGGTCCCCAGGTGGTGGGGATAAGTGCAGATTCAAACCCACCAGTCACTGACTGGCTGAACCCAGGCTGCTCCTGGTAAAGCTTAGAGACTAACGGTCACAAAAGGACAAAGCAAAACCCTGGAGGTGGTGGGGTAGACCGACGAGAAGGAGACAGAGAATGTGGGCAATGGACCCGGGCTGGGGCTGGGCTCAGTCATGGGCAGTGGACAGGCAGGTGGGATCTGTCAGGCGATCAGTCCAGGTAGTCAGTCCTTACACAAGAGGCTGCGCTGAATACTTCGGAGGGACCCTCCAGCTGTGATGAAGGCCCAGAGCCCCATGGAAACAGTGACTGCATAGATGGGCAGCAGGCTGGCCTCATACCAGGGGTTCAGGAATGTCTAGGAAGGAGGGTAAGAGTAGGAAAGAGATTAGATTCTCCCCCGACCTAATCCCCATATTTTCTCTGTACCTTTGACTCCCAGACATCTCTCTCAAATTCCCCAGTCTTTCCCTTCAGAGCACCAACATCTTGTGGTTAAGGGGACTTTTGATTTTCAGCTCCTCAGAACCTCAAAGGTTTCTGCCGCTCCTGACCACCTCAGGCCCTCTGCATTACAGTTTGACTAACGCGTTCAACCTCCTCCCCAGAGCAGGTGCTAGAACTGATGCTGAGGTGAGAGACCTCAAAAGACTCACCTTTCCGCCTCCTCCCAGGTAAGTTAAAAATGTTAAGAAGTGAGGATACCCTTTCCCCGACATCCCACTCACCATTAAATGCTTTTCTCCCTAACTTAAGCCCCTGTCTCCAACTCACCAGTCCCGATGTCAGTAGGTGACTCCCAACCACCAGGCCCAAAGCCCAGTACCGTCTCCTCTCACAGGCATCAAAGAACACAACTCCCCAAAAGGTATGGAGCAGGATAATGGCTGCTGTCAGAAAGGCTGCAGGGAGGGAGATGGGGAGGAGATACATCCCTGATCTTCTCCCAGCCTCCTGAGATGTTGAGCCAAAGAAGTCTCCCAGGGAAGGCCAATAAATCAGATAAGGGACAAGGATGGATGGGGGGTGAAGGCTAGATAGAAGTTGGATCTTACCTGAAGTCAGGAAGTAATAGGGTGAGTCTCCATGGATCCCAACCACACCTGGCCCAAGTGCATCAGCCAAAATATTGATAACAGAGAAGACACCACTGATGATACCGAAGGAGAGACCAGAAACTGGGGGAAGGGAGGATCTCATCAATGTCAGAGATCACACTATTGCCTGTTCACCACTGACGCCTCCCCATTCCCCGTTACAATTCTTTCACGCCTACTCTCCCTCCAGACCAACTTTCTTTGGAAGTGACGGATGAAGGAAAATAAGAAGCCACTTAGAACATGTGGGTATTTAGAGACTTCCCTAGAGGAGGGGGCTGTCCAACTCCCTCCTCCAGTCCCTCTCCCTTGGCTCACCATAGGCCATCTGGCGGATGGAGATGGGTGATCTTCCGTCCTCACTCAGCGATGCTAACCCCTCATCTGCCTTCCTGGGGTGGGGTGGGGTAGGGGAAACATGAGGGAGGGCAGGGATGCTCCTTTCCCTCTAATGTCCTCCCTTAGTGCCTCCTCTTCCAAACCAGCACCCAGGGGCTGCCCCACTTCCCACAGTGCAGTCCTCTGCCCCTCTCCCCTCCAGACCACTCCATCATCTTACTTAAGCAGCTTGTAGTAGGCAAAGCGGAACACCTCCTGTAGAAGGACAGAGACAGCAGCACCAAAAATCAGGAGGCCGTACTGGAGCCGGGCATCTGACCGGTCGGTCACATGGACCAAGATGAACCAGACCACAGAGGCCAGGAGCAGGGAGACCAGCCAGAAAAATGCCCTGAGAAAAGACAGGGACAGTGAGACAAGCAATGGTAAGGGCTGCCAGAGAAATCAAGGAGGGAAACCAGCCAAGGTGCTTGAAGGGTGGAAGTTAGCCTTCCGGATGGTTAGGGAGACATGGACCAGGTAGGGTAACTGTTTCCACCAAGAGACTCATCTGTAGAAACGTGAACGCAGAGGAAAGGGGAGAAATCTAATTAAAGAGTCTTCAGAGCGATGAGAGCCAGAGTGTGCGAGCACCGAAGGGCGAGGTATCCATTCCTGGATCCTCCCCTAAGGCACCTGACTCGGCCAGCCTAGGTCAGCACAGCCCCCTCACGAGTCTCGGCCTTGGGCCTTCTCTGACGTCGCTGGGAGGAATATAGAAGGAATCTGTGAGATCCTTGGAAGGTGGAAACCAACTGCGGGAAAAGGCAAATCTCCCAGACCCAACCCCTCACCTCCGCCCAAACTTCACCTCCGATTTATCGTCCCCAATTCAGGCTCCCAGGCTCGCCCCAGTTCCTCCAGCCCCTTCCGCACCTCTCTCTTCGACGCTCTTCCGCGTCTCCCGGACCCCCTACTCACCCTGCGACCAGGATGATAACGCGAAGTGGATCCCCAGCCACAGTGATCAAGAAAAGCGCGAAGGCCGGGCCGAACGCGACGAAAGTGCAGCCGAAAAATACCGCAGCCCCCATGGCTGGGCAGGTGGGAGGGGGGTGGGGGCCTGACCAGGACAGGCAAATGGGAGAGGTACGCCAGCTGGGGAGTCCGCGTGGGGTGGCAACGCGACCCCACGAGGGGCGCGGTGCAATGTCACCCCCGAACCCCGGGGAAGGGGAAGGGGGGGAACCAAAACCCCAAATGAAGGTCCGCGGGACTTCCTCTACGGAAGCCGAAGAGGGGACAAATCCCGGTCGCAGCCCCACGGCCACCTCCCATCTAATCCCCACCCCCGGAAGGCCAATGGAGAATCAGCGCGGGCGGAGCAGCTCGACCTGCTGGGAGTTGTAGTCGCCTTCCGAGGCCTTGACTTCGTCCTGGGAGTGGCTCGAACCGGTTAATGGGAGTGGGCCGGGAATGGACCAGTAAAGACACAGATTCCTGGGTTCGGTTGCGCCTCCGTCGCTGTTTCCTTTCGTCACTTTGTGGGGAAAAGTGGTAGCAATCATACCTCTTCTTGAAGGGCTGCAGCGGGGGTAGATCCTGTTTGAATCTAAGAGACAAATACAAAGACAGCACAGGATGGGGCGCAGGGAGATAGGGACGGGTATTGTTCTTACTTGAATGAGAGGAAATGGGCTACAGCTGTTGCCTAAGGGATGAAGATTACATTAAAAAGTAGGAGCTCTTCGGACAGGCTAGTATAATAAACATGGAATACAGTATATCGCTAATGAAGCCTTCATCTGTAATGACAAGAGAATTGGAGAGAAGCAAAAGGATCCTGGAGAGAAATGTTAGGAAGGCATTTTGAAAGAGTCCGGGAGTTTAAAAGCAATTAGAGCGATGGGGTTGAAGGAAAACGACACCCCCGCCCCAAGTTCCTTTTATGTCATACTTCCTCTGTTTATTGTCTGAAAAATGAACCTCAGTGGTGCGTTTTCCTCAGATTGGAGAGGGGTTGTGTATTAGAGTGAATGAAAGTTAAAGTAGGCTGGGCGCGGTGCCTCACCCCTGTAATCCCAGCACTTGGGGAGGCCAGGAGTTTGAGACCAGCCTGGCCAACATGGCGAAACCCCATTTCTACTAAAAATGAAAAAATTAGCCAGGTGTGGTGGCGCGCGCCTGTAATCCCAACTACCCGGGAGGCTGAGCGGCAAGAATAGCTTGAACCTGAGAGGCAGAGGTGGCAGTGAGCTGCGACTGCGCCACTGCACTACAGCCTGGACAACGGAGTGAGGTTCTGTCTCAAGAAAGAAAAAGAAAGTTAAAGTAGGAGAGGAGAGGATTGTAATCCCATTTGAATGGGTAGAGGTTAGTCCTTAGGGCAGATGTTAGGCAAAGGAATCTGAGGATGGAAAAGAGGGAAGGAATCTGGAATATCGTTTTTGAAAGCATAACCAAAGTACCAAAAAAACCCACAGAAATTGTTTAAAGATAACCAAACTTGCTTTCCTTCCTGGAAGTGATTTACGATTTAATCCATATGTGCACACTCACATACGTGTTTTACATGTGTTCCAGGAAATTCTGGAAAGGAGCTGAGGAATAGATTGTATAGATTTACATAGAGGCTGGTCACAGTGGCTCATGCCTGTAATTCCAGCACTTTTGGAGGCCAAGGTGGCGGGATCACTTGAGGTCAGGAGTTTGAGACTAGCCTGGCCAGCATGTTGAAACCCCGTCTCTAATAAAAATACAAAAAATTAGCCAGGCATGGTGGTGCGCACCTGTAGTCCCAGCTACTCAGGAGGCTGAGCCACAAGAATAGCTCGAACCTGGGAGGTGGAGATTACAGTGAGCTGAGATCACACCACTGCACTCAAACCTGGGCGACAGAGCAAGACTCTGTCTCCAAAAAAAAAGAAAGAAAAGATTTACATGGAACGTCACAAGGCAAATTATTCCCTAATAAGATTAAGAGGGTAGCATTATCGTGGCCTGTGTTCAAGACTCCAGTATGTCCTGCTTCTGAGCCCAGCAGGCAGAGTCAGGTGGATAGCAATGAGACAATTCTGCTCATGTCTTTTTTTTGCGATGGAATCTCACTCTGTCGCTCAGACTGGAGTACAGTGGTGCGATCTCGGCTAACTGCAACCTCTGCCTCCCAGGTTCAAGTGATTCTCTTGCCTCAGCCTCCCTAGTACCTGGGATTACTGGCGCCCGCCACCACAACTAGCTAATTTTTGTATTTTTAGTAGAGACAAGGTTTCACCATGTTGGCCAGGTTGATCTCCTGATCTCCTGACCTCAGGTGATCCATCTGCCTAGGCCTCCCAAAGTGCTGGGATTACAGGCGTGAGCCACTGTGACCAGCTTCATCTCTCCATTGTGTGTTATCACAGCATCTTCTGACCAGGCTCTAAACCTATCTTGTTCGTGGGTGGTTCCACAGACACTTGCACAGTGCCTGACTCATAGTAGATGTTGGGCAGATACTTATTAACTTCCCTTAAGAACAAAGCAAAACTGTCTTTTCTTATTCCCTTGCCTGTAAGCTCTCAGTGCCTATCAGACTAGGCCTAGCACACTGTGCCTAGCACATACGTTGCTAAGGGTTTCTGAATTGAATGATCATGGGAAACATAAAAGCAGAGGAAAGGATAAAAACTCTACTCCTGTAGGACTGAATGAAGGGAACACACCAAGTGACCGAATGTGGGAGGGAGGGTATGGCACCTGTAGCAGGGAAAGAGACTATCTGCTTCCTCCCTTCTCCCAACTTGCATCCTGGAAGTTGAGAAAGAGATGAGGTGAGGCTGGGCTGGGCACAGTGGCTCATGCCTGTAATCCCACTTTGGGAGGCCGAGATGGGTGGATCACCTGAGGTCAGGAGTTCGAGACCAGCCTGGGCCAATATGGTGAAACTTTGTCTCTACTAAAAACACAAAACTTAGCTGGACATGGTGGCATGCACGTGTAGTCTCAGCTACTGGGGAGGCTGAGGCAGGAGAATCACTTGAACCCGGGAGGCGGAGGTTGCAGTGAGCCGAGATCGTGCCACTGCACTCCAACCTGGGTGAGAAAGCGAGACTCTGTCTCAAAAGAAAACAAAGAGGTGAGGTGAGGTCAGTATTACCAGAGAGGAAATAACTGACCGTGGCTGAGAGACTTTTATCTGAAGCCATGCAGCAGGTGCTTTAAGTCAGAAAATGATGGGTAAATATTGTTCCCATTCTCCATAGCTCAAGACAGACAGAAGAAAGGGACTCTTTTCAGTCTAGAAAAATGCTCACTCCTTCCTCATATCATTTCCACTGTGATGAAAAAAGACTGATGAAGCCTCAGAGAGAAACGCAACTCTGGGTGGTGATGGTAAGTCAGGGACAGTGAGAGGGAGGGTGAGCTTTTTATGAGGCCTTGGAGGAAGGAAGGAAAGCCAGGAGAGGGAAAACTTCTTGGTAGGCTTATTTTTATTTTTTTATTTTTTGGTAATGGCAGTGGAAGTCCTGAATGGATCTAATCTAGGGCAGGGGGAGCTTAAGAAACATGTTTGTATCAAAAGCCCCTTTTGCCTCTCAATCTGGGCAGCTCTGGCTGGGGACCGGCAGTAACTGGAGATCTAGTCAGTCAGCCAGTAGGCGGGGAGTTCTGCCCCCTGGGAGGAGAAGAGTTGCTGCAGGTCCTTCCCTGCTTTGGAGGAGGAGGGGAGGCGGGGTAAGTTTGGTGGGAAACTGTAATTTCCTTTTTTACTTTTACAGCAATAGTGCAGAATCCAGAATGGATATCCTCTTTGCAGCCATCCTTGCTGTGCCATTTATCCTGGGTAAGTCCACTTCTCTCACTGAGCTTTTGTGCCTGGTCTTCTACCATAAATGGGGTGGGAGAAAAAAAAATGAGGAGTGGGTAAGAGGCGCATTTCAATGGGGAGCAATAGAGTTTTCTCATCGTGCTAGGATCCGGTGTTGAGGGCAGAATGGAGATCTGGAAGGCAGAGCCAGGAAAGGGGAAAAAAAAGCAGAGTCCTGTCAAAGAAGGAGGATGGAGCTCCAGATACAAGGAGGCCCTAGCAACACTGAGCTCAGTTCTCCATCACCACGGAAGTTGAACAAGATGAGAGGCGCTAAAGTAAGGGTGAAGGAGGAATTATTGGAAGGTGTCACAGTCTAAAACTAGTAGTTAGGGTATCTCCTTTCCCAGAGAATTGGAGGAAAAAAACTGCTATTAGTAAAGACACAGAAGTGGGTTGACCTTCAGGGTAGTGGAAAACTGGCTGTCTTCAGGGACAGGGTCCCAACAGTAGCTTGGCTCCTTCCCTCCTTTGTTCCCCAGTCTGCCAGGTGTGTCTCTCATTGTTTCCTTTTCCTCTAGATTCTTGTGTCATTAGCTTGGAGTTGAAGGGAAAGCATTCAAGGAGCTCAGGGAAGTGTTTAGCAGGAGGCCTGGAGTTCTTGATCCAGTCATATCAAAGCCACATATTTTTAGTTCTGAAAGGGAAGAAAAACTAAAGGAGATGGGTCATTTAGTCCAGCTGACTCATTTTAAGAAAGCGGATGTTAAGTGGATTGTTCAGGGTTATTCCGTTAGCAGTGAAGCTGGAACTAAAGCTCAAATCCAAAGCCTAAGGGTGTGTGTTATTTGTAAGAGACACTGATGAGAAAAGATCTCTCACAAATACAGTAAGATCTGGAGCATACTAAATAGAAGATTTGGTGTGTTTAATTCCTGGTCTCTACTCTTCCTATCTTTTTTAGGTTTGGTTCTCCCTTTGGGTTTATAGTATGTGAAGGGGACTGTTTTCTGTTTTAGGAGTTCCTGGATTGAAAAGGCACAGAGTAACAGGCCTCATTACAGATATGGAGCCCAGAAGACTGAGAGGAGTGTAAGGGTGCACAGGCAGGAAGGGAGTATGACTATTGGAGGGGAAGAGAAAGAAAGAAAGAAAGAGAGAGAGAGAGACAGAGAGAGAGAAAGCGAGAAAGCGAGAAAGCTGGGAACGCTGAGGTCAATTCCAGGTGTCCTTTTGTTAGTAAGGTGTTCCAGATGTCCCTTGACCTATAGTCCTTGTCCCCATAGGACAAGAATATGAGGATGAAGAAAGAATGGGAGAGGATGAATATTATCAGGTGGTCTATTATTATACAGTCACCCCCAGTTATGGTGAGTACATGAAAGGCTCTTGCTCTTAGCCAACTGGAGAGAGGCTTCAGGATATTTAGTTCTGAGACTTTGCTTTTCACTTTGCAGCAGAGCAATGGGGTCAGAGAAAAATCTAGCTATAAACAAAACCTATCAAGGCTAATGATGGGCCGGGGACAGTGACTCATGCCTGTAATCCCAGCACTTTGGGAGGCTGAGGCGGGTGGATCACCTGAGGTCAGAAGTTCGAGACCAGCCTGACCAACAGGGTGAAACCCTGTCTCTACTAAAAATACAAAAATTAGCCAGGCATGGTGGCACCTGCCTGTAGTCCCAGTTATTCAAGAGGCTGAGGCAGGAGAATCACTTGAACCCGGGAGGCCGGACGTTGTGGTAAGCCGAGATCACGACACTGTATTCCAGCCTGGGGGATAGAATGAGACTCCATCTCAAAAAAAAAAAAAAAAAGACTGATTTTTAGATGGGAGGATTGCTTGAGCCCAGGAGTTCAAGGCCAGCCTGAGCATCATAGCAAGACCTTGTCTCTATAGATAAAAAAAAATTTTTTTTTTTCAATTAGCTGGGCATGGTGGCACATGGCTGTAGTCCCAGCTACTCAGGAGGCTGAGGCGAGAGGATCACTTGAGCTCAGGAGCTGGAGGTGGCAGTGAGCTATGATTGAACTAACTGTACTCCAGCCTGTTAACAGAGTGAGACCTTGACTCTAAAAAAAGAAGAACTTGAAAATTTTTCAAATTTGTAAATTATTTTAGATACCTAGATTGAAAATATAAATGTATACACTCACAGTCATTTTTAACATTACAGTTAAATAAAATTGGATTATACCAATAAATGTTACAACTTAAGTTAAACTATTCTGAGCAATTTCTTCCCTTTTCATTTCCAGATCTAGAGTTACCTTTTTCTCTAATTATTACTGATTTTCTTTCTCCTCTGCAGATGACTTTAGTGCAGATTTCACCATTGATTACTCCATATTTGAGTCAGAGGACAGGCTGGTGAGTGACCTCTACATCTAAAAGGTTTAGGATAAGCAACAATTAAAAAGAAACTGGCCAGGCGTGGTGGCTGACGCCTGTAATCCCAGCACTTTGGGAGGCCAAGGCGAGTGAATCATTTGAGGTCAAGAGTTTGAGACCAGCCTGGCCAACACGGTGAAACCCCATCTCTACTGAAAATACAAAAACATTAGTTGGACATGGTAGCATACACCTATAATCTCAGCTACTCAGAAGGGTGAGGTAGGAGAATCACTTGAATCCGGGAGATGGAGGATGCAGTGAGCCAAGATTGTTCCACTGCACTCCACCCTGGGCAACAGAGCCAGACTCCATCTCAAAAAAAAAAAAGAAGAAAAGAAAAGAAAAGAAACTGGGCAATGTTGAAATGTATCTGATTAGCAAAAATAAAAATGAGTTTGATGAGGAGAAACTAAGTAGTAGGCCCAAAACAGATTTGTTAACCTATCTGGGGAGGAGAAAAAAGCCAGAACTTTATAAATTGTCCTCAGTAAGTTTGCTAAGACACTGAGGAGGGGCATCAAGGGAGTTCTGAATGAGATGGGTACAAATCTATGCAGTACAGGGTAGGGGGGAATCCCTGAGCTTAAGTCCTTGGGCTGGGTGGAGGTGGTGAAGGGGAGAACTTTAAATAGAGAATCTATGAAGATGTTGGATGGAAAAAATGATAACTCTGTGTTTCCCAAATCCTACTGAGGGTAGAACAGGTTGGATAAAGACACAACAGAGGCAGTAGGGACTACCATTAGTCTTGAAACAGCACGTGCAGACCATCCGAAGCCTGTAACTGTGAAACCAGTAACAACGGAACCAGTGAGTTGATTGGGGATTGGGGGCTGGGGGGAGACAGGATATCCCTAGTGACGTGGAGTAATAGAGGCCTGGAATACCAGGCTTTGGTGGATGGGGGAACCAAATAATTAGTACTTCAATGTAGGTGTTCATCTCAACTTGGCCATGTTTCACTGAGATTTAATACTAACCCGGTATACAGAACACTGGGAAGATATGGTGCAGTTAAATTTCAGTTCAGTAGTATTCAATATGCATGTAATCTGTGCCTAAGGCTGCTAAAGTAACTGATGCTGATCAAAAAGAAATCTATGATGTTCCTGTCCTCAAAGAACTTATAAAATTCAAGTTTACATTTACGAAACACTCAGAACAAAATGAAAAGGTATGTTACAATGTTAAATTATATATAAATTTGAAAGCAGAACATACTGGCAGTGCTTTAGCCAGTGTAAGGAGAGAGATTAGTACAGGTTAGAGTTGTCTGAAAAGCTTTCAAGAGGCATTTGTGGTTGAGATACACCTTGAAGAATAGATGAGCTTTTGATTGGTGGGTAGTTATGAAAGGACAGAAGCAATTAGGAGAAAGAATAGTTATTCCAAGAGTGAAAGAGGCCAGGTGTGGTGGCTTACGCCTGTAATCCTTTGGGAGGCCAAGGTGGTAGGATCACTTGAGGTCAGCAGTTCAAGGCTAGTTCAAGGGCCAACATGGTGAAACCACCCATCTCTACTAAAAATACAAAAGTTAGCCAGGCGTGGTGGTGCCTGCCTATAATTCCAGCTACTTGGGAAGCTGAGGCATGAGAATCGCTTGAACCTGGGAGGCAGAGGTTGCAGTGAGCTGAGATCATGCCACTCCACTCCAGCCTGGGCAACAGAGCGAGACT